AAATCCAGAACCATCGGTTCAGCTGGCGCAATGCAATATCAATCAATATTGCAACCGTGACGAGCGATGTCCTTGAGGAGCGTGACGTGTGAATACATCAAGCGTACTGCGCTCCCCAGGGCATCTTGCAGACTTCCCGGTTTTCGCACGACTGCCACTTGCAGTTGACGGTCTGCTTCAGTTTACACCAGCAGTTCTTCGTTGGTGGCCCAAACCAGTGCTAGCGTCTTTCTGCACCGATACCGAGTCGACGACGTGGGAGCCCCGCGCTGAATCTAGCAGAACCCCCACGAAGCCACTAACCGCAAAACCACGACGACGCCTGATCCAGCCCGATCTAAAAGCATCGGAGGCGGAGAGCCCCAAGCTGTCCTTCTTCGGCCTCGGAGGTTCGGCCAGGGTGCCGGGAAAAGCCTTGGGACTGTTAATTATGGGGTGCTCCGAGCTGTTGCCTGCATCTGTCATGTCATTGTTACAACGTCATGGAGTGCAACGTTGACCTTGCAGGGAAATATGGGAGCAATTGAGATTGCAAGCTATTGTCACTCGCGCCATAGACCGGCGACATGGCCCATGCCACCACTGAAACCTTGCCATGCAGCTCGGCATGTGTCTTGAGTAGAACCATGACATGAAGGCAATCCACAGGTCGCACGAATCCGACTGTCAGGCGGCGTCTCCGACGTCTACAACCAGAACGACAACCCGATCAACCCGTACTCTCAGTTCAGTAACTTGGCCGTTTCCGTACTGTTGGTGCTGAGCCATTGAGCAGCAAGACAACCTGCGGAGTTCTTGAAGTCAGCAAACGCGGGAAAAACAACCGAAATATTGCGAAAGCGACATGTCAAGAAGATGCTGGGATGTCCCGGGCTTCGCCAAAGGGATGAACCGTCCCCGGAGCAAGGCGAGGTCGGAGACGAGTCCGTCTACAAGGCCCGCACCGACCAGGAGGCACCAGGGGACCAGGGGCGCTTCTGCTCTTCGGAGTGTTGGGTCCAAGCAAGCCCGTAAAGCCTGCAATGCCTCAAACTCGGGACCACTAGGCCTTCAATCCTTGATCTTTCTATCAACTTAATCAACTTGTATCCCTAGTTGTGGAGGCTGAGCTGGTTCGGCCATGTTGTGAAGTGCAGCCGGTTTTGTGACCAGCTGTCTTCTTTCATTTGAGCTTCTGCTAAACTGATCAAGTTTTGTCCTGTGGGCAGGGCCACGGCATTCTGTCAGCAACGAAATTTGGAGCAGTGTTCCAGCTGGGTTGAAGGAGTGCGTGCGGATTGTTAAGTGTTCCTTCATGTGTTATTCCCGTCCGTGGAGGGGATGTGCATCTTCAGACGTGTGGGAGCCCTTGTCGGCCAAGAAAACAGTCTGCAGGTTTCGCGCAGGAAGAATGCGCTCGCGAACTCCTTCGAGCGCTTCGACAAGACCGCCGTGCCTTAGCGCTGACTTGGCATGTGCTGTATCGACATAAGCGTCAAGCATATCGTTACGCTCTGTGTGCAGATCTGCGCCGTGCACTCATAGCCCGACCACAGAATGGTTCGGCCGGAATACCGCCTCCTACTAAGGTTGTTTGTTGAGCCAATACTGCATTGATCGAGGTCATTTCATGATCTCCTGCTTGTAGTCTCTTGCATCCTCTTGCTATAGACGTGAATCTTCCTAGACTTATCACTGATCACGTGCTCAGCAATCCTCTGAATCAGACTGTAGATGCTGTTGTCTGTAACTGAGCTTGCCGCCGCATGATGCAGGTTGAGTTGTCCTTATCACACTTAAGTTAGCTCCAGCATGATACAGTGCCCAGGTGGGTGGTGCAACAACACGCGGTGGCTCGCTGTCAAGTCTATCTATGTGTGCATATACGTATATATACACATTGTATGCATGCATACGCGAAGACGCGTGCGGAACACAAAAGCAGCATGGGAGATGATGGAGAAACAGCATACGGCAGACCTGCAAACCAGAAAGGAAACTTGTTGAGTTGGCGTGCTCGCTTGCAAAGTATGTGTCACGTTGGTTTACACTTGGAGTGCAGGGAGCAAAGTATCTCAAAGCACAAGCACATCGAGTACTCTCGAAGATGTCACACAGCGTGACGAA